GGGCTTGTCGATTCCCCCGCGTGTTTGTTTGGGTGTCTGCAGCGGCACCGGGGGGTAAAATGCGGAGCCCCAAACGCTGCTGCTCTGCTGCGTGTTTCTGCGGAGCGAACTCGTGCGTCTCGGCGCACTGGCGGGTTGAGGGTTGGGCCGACTGCGGGGACTGTGGCGGCTGCGGCAGCCCGTGCCCGTGCCCTGCTGATTTGTTGCGGCGACCGGCGGCGGATGCATGCGGGCCGCTCGGGGCACGTGCTTGTTTTTTTGCCCCGCACGCTTGTTTGTTGCGTTGCCCGCCACGCGGCGGCGGTGCTGGCGCCCCGCACGAGGAGGAGCCCGCAGCCGCCGCCCCGCAGGAAACGACGCGGGCCGCGGCACGCACCGCCGGTCAGACGCGCGGCTTCCCCGCGGGCACCGTCACCCGCACCTTCGCGTGGCGGCGGCGGCACTTGGCTGCTCAACCGTCGCAGTGGGCTTCTCGTGCGGGCGCCGGACTGTCGCCTCCACCGTCCCCCGCATGCGTGGCCTGCGCTGCCCCCCACTGCCGCGCCCGAACTCATCGCCGCCATCGCTGTTTTTTTCCCTCCACATTTATCTTCACACACACACACAACAGACGTGCACGCGATGCGCCTGTAGTTCCGTGCAGGTGGATGGCCTTTTCGCAGCCTGCGCTGGCAGTGCCGTGTGCGGCTGCTGCTGCGGTTTCCTCGCGGGCCGTGAAGAGAAGGAAAGGAAAACGCACAGCATGAGGGGGGGGGTGCGCTGTGGCTAACTCGTTTTTCTTGCGGGAGCCGCCTCATTTGGGTGGTGGCGGCGGGCCCACTTCCCGTGTGCGTGTGCGTGTGGTGGCGGCTGCGCTTCGCTGCTCCGTCGTGGGTGGCTGCTGGCGCTGCTGTGCGTCTTTCTTGCGTGGCTGCGTGAAGTTGCTCGGCTCCCGCCTTTTTTCTTTTTTGCGACCTGCTCTCTTCACTGTCTCCGCTGCACTCCCTCTCCCTCCCTCTGCTTCTCTTGTTTCCTGCGTCTTTTTTTTCCCCGCTGGCTTCAGCGACTCTGTCACTCTACGAGCACCACTACTTTTGCCGATGACGACGCTGACGGTGCGGCGCCGTGCGGTGTGTGCCCTGGCGCTCCTTGCGCTGCTCTGCGGCTGCTGCTGCGCCTCCGTCTGCGGGGCGACCGCTGGGGAGGCGGCCCCGAAGTGTAATGTGTCGGTGCCGGTGGAGGTGTCGTGCCGGGGGACTGGAGAGAATTTGAGGTTTCGGGTGCGTGGGAATGAGACGTGGGTGACTTGTGCGTTGGACGCCGAGGATCGCACTGCGTTGAGCAACACAAGTGGCGCTCTCGCTGCGTGGGAGAAGGCGGGGCACACCGTCGCCGGTGCTGAGGTGAACTTCTGTGACGCGGGCGGGGACCTCACGGAGAACATTTGCATCGCGGCCGAGTTTCTCTACGTTTTCCACCAGTGCGGTGCCCGCTGTGCGGGACACGCGGCAGAGAACACTGTGGCGTTCACGATGAACATTATGGACCGTGAGGAGGGTGAGCTGCACAAGGAGCTGCAGGGGGCACAGGCTCGTGGTGGAGATACGCCGCAAAATTCAGGGAGCCGCGTTGACGATGCGGGCGAGACGGGCGTCTGTCCGTTAACAGCAGCCCCTCAAACAGCCAAAGAGGAGGAAGCGGATGCGCTTACGGGCACTGCGGGGCGAGAGGCTTCGCCACAGCCCCAAACCGGCGGGCTGCCGCAAGGCGCGGCGGCGGGCCCGAGCACCGCCACGGATAACACCGCGCCCCCCGCACAGGCCGATGCGTCCGGCGTTGGCTCTGCGGTCACCGGTGTCACTGTCGCCGCTGGAAATCAGGCGAGGACAACTCCATCAGTTCCCTCCGCAGGTAGCGGTGTGGCTGCCGGCGGTCAGACTGAAGAACTGAGGGAGGAGAATGCCGAAGACACCGCAGAGTCCGATGACGCTCGAGCACCTGCAGAGAGCGAGGCTAAAACGCCAGCGGCTGGGCCCATCGCCACCAGCACAGACGACACCGCGACGCCGACTGACGGTGACAGCGGCAGCAGCCCCGCGACGCAGCCGCAGCCGGGGAGTTCCATGGGGACAAACGAATCTGGTCAGCGAGAGCAGGAGCAACCCGCAGTCACCACCGCACCCAAGCAGGAAACGGAAAGGAGTGGTGAGAGAAGAGGAGAAGCCACACAGCCGGCAGCGGGGGCGGCTGCTCAAGCGGCGACCACCTCCACCAACTCGACGAGTGCAGCGAAGGCGGCGCCCGGCGACAGCGACGGCAGCAGCACCGCGGCCGCGCCCTCCGCCTCCCCCCTTGCGCTGCTTCTTCTGCTTGCGTGTGCGGCTGCCGCTGCGGTGCTGGCCGCATGAGAGACAGAGTGAGAAGGAGACAGAGGGCCGTGCACACACAACTCTTTCTGTTTCCCTCTCTCGCTTTGTGTGTGTGTCCCCCTGCACTGACTCTCTCGCCCTCGCCTCTCCCCACGCGGCACACACACATAATGTGCTCATAACTATACACACAACTCCACTCATGCAGGCCCGTTGGTTTTATTTTTGTTTTGCACTCGACGAGCCGCTGCCGTCTTGTTTGGCTGCATGGGTACAACACCGTAACTGTTTTTGTCCTTTTATTGTTTGTTTGTTTCCATTGCTTTCAGTGGGCGGCCTCTCTTGCTTCTTTCTCTTGCTTCCTGGATTGGGCT